GATTTTTCCATTCAATATTACGAAGTTAAATCAACACAATTCTTTCATTTTCATGACATTCATTTAAAAAAAAAAAACAGCTTTTAGAAGTCTTATGACAATCCACTTTAATATTCTTACATGTGTTTTATCTCTTAGGCTTGACCTTAAGACTCAATAAGAGATTTTGGGTTCATTTAGGGGTGGTAATCAATCCGACTCAAGTAGATATAATGTCAAGCTTTTTGCTAGGTTGAGTTTGGATCTTTTTTTTTTTTTGAACAGCAAAAAATATTATTTTATTTATTAATAAATGGAGTATAAGGGATACCCCCAACCCATAAACTTGACAATTTGAAAGTCATACAATTTCCAATCCTTCCGTATGGTGTCGACTCCTGAAATATGTGCCAACACCACGTTCGTGTCGGAAATTTCTGTGCATGCAATATAGTATCGACACCAGATCCAGTGTCTCGGCACTGTACCCGTGTCGAACTTTCTGCCTTCTGATGCAAAATCTTTATCAATCACTATACTGATCATGAAAACCATTCCAGCTATCGCCCCGCTATCACGTACCTTCACTGAGCATGCCTTGACTGCCATTTAGAACCCCAAAGACCATTAGTGCTTTAGGCACATAATCTGCAGTCAAAAATTGCTCAAAGAAGCCTTATTGATGCAACAGTGATTTTTCAACCAGGCAGTAATATAATTAACCAATCAGATAAATGATCTTGACCTCCTTCACCTCCTTCACTCACAGCTCCACCTCCATTTCAGATGGCTTTCTCTTGAGATACCTTCTACTGTTGCGATTAATGCTCAAATAGTTTGCAGGATTCTGGATCCAATCAACTATGGAGAAAAAGCAGCCGCTCCTTTTGCCCTTAATCCAGCTAAAGGCCCTGATTTGGACCAGTTCAAATAACCTTCCACTATCCACCTCCTTCCCCCTAAACACTTTTTCATTCCTAGCCAACAAAATTGTCCATATTACTACAAACCATATACATTCTCATCCCTGCTTCACCCCCATTGTTTCCAGCATATTGGAATGTTGTTCAAAAAATCTCCAGCAATATCTATCAATTACTGTTTTAATTCCCCACCATTTATAGCAAGCTGTCCATAGATCACGTGCCACTTTGCACTGAACAAAAAGGTGGTTGGAATTCTCCTCCCCTGCACCACATAATTCACATCTGCACTCGCCTGGGTCCTGAATCACGCCTCTCTTCATCAGATTATCCTTGATTGGAATTTTACCTTGTAGCAATTGCTAAGAGAATGCTGAGATTTTACTCGGTATAAGTGGATTCCATACTTTTTGTAGAGCCGACCTTTGCTAGCTGTTTCTGTGTTCTGCTGCAAGTATATGGTATGCTGATTTGGTTGTATAACTACCATCTTTACTGTGAATCCATATCCTTTGATATGGTCTCCCTTTTGCAATTGTTATCTCGTTAATCTCCTTTTGGAGCTCCATTTCCTGATGTTCTTCACAGCTAAATAGGGACCTTCTCCATTGTAGACTCCACTTCCAAGTGTCATTGTGCCAACCTCCCATTTGTGAGATCTTATAGTCTTTTCCTGCAGATAACAAGTAAAGTCTAGGATATTTGTTAGCTAAACACCCATCCCCACTCCACTTGTCCCACTAGAAACTAATGTCTACCCCTTCCCCTAGTTTTAATTCCAGCCCATCCACTAACCATCCTTTCTTCTCTTTGTCAATATCATTCAATCTACTTAAGTCCCTCCACCAAGATGAGCCGAAATTCATGTTCTCCCTCAACCAATTGAAACTTGGTTCCCCTACCCGACCATACTTCTCCACAATAACCTTTTTCTAGAGCCCTTTATCTGCCATGACTATCCTCCCCCACCATTTTCCTAATAGGGCTATATTAAATTTTCTCAAATCCTTAACCCCCAAACCACCCTGTTTTTTACCTTTGCAGACCTGTTCCCACTTCACCCAATTTATTTTCTTTTCTCCTGTAGCCCCACCCCATAAAAAACCTCTACGAATTTTATCAAGTGAAAGAATCGTACCTTTTGGGATGAGATACACCGACATCCAGAACACAGGAAGACTGGATAGCATTGAATTAATAAGGGTAATCCATCCACCAAGAGATAAGTACCGACCCTTCCATGTAGATAGTTTTTTAGAAAATAATTCCACTAGTGGTTTCCAAAAGGCCTTTTTTCTACTGCTTCCTCCAATGGGGATGCCCAGATATTTAAATGGAAAAACCCCAACTTTGCAGCAAAGCACCCATGACATTTTGTTGAGCCAGCCCTCTTGCATATGTATGCCAATCAAATGACTTTTGTTGAAGTTTATCTTTAGGCCTGAGACTAGTTCGAAAGCTCTCAAGATGCCCTTCATTGCCCACACATTTTCCTCTTTAGCTTTAGCAAAGAGAATTGTGTCGTCCACGTATTGTAGGTGAGAAACTTTAAAACCTCTGCTCCCCACCTCTGCTCCGTCCAATAACCCTTTCTGAGATGCAGTTGAAACCAGTCCATTAAGACCTTTTGCAATGATTAAAAATAGGAAGGGTGATAAAGGGTCCCTTTGCCTGAGTCCTCTCGTCACAATAAACTGCCTTGTTGGGTTGCCATTAACCAGAATTGATACAAGATTTGTTCTTAGACATTCCATGATCCAGTTCCTCCAGATTACACAAAATCTCATCCGTTGCGTCATATAGTCGAGGAATTCCTAGCTGACCTTATCATACGCCTTTTCAAAGTCGATCTTGAACAAGAATGTCTCCTTCCTCTTCTTCTTTACATCATCAATCACCTCATTTGCAACCACTACTCCATCCATTAGTTGTCTTCCTCTAATAAATGCCATATGTTGTTCATCGACAATCCCATCAAGGACCACCTTTAACCTGTTAGCAAGAAGCTTTGCAAGGATTTTATACATTACACCAATGAGGGAGATGGGTCTAAATTCCTCTATCTTTTGTGGGTTATCCACTTTCGGCACAAGGACAATGAAAGATGTGTTAAGTCCTCTAACCAACTTACCATTTTTATGGAATTCATGCAAGAATCTGATTACATCTACCCTTATTAGCTCCCACACATTCTTGACAAAGTCGAAATTGAATCCATTTGGTCCAGGCGCCTTTGAACTGTCACACTCCCGCACCGCTACATCTATCTCTTCCTCACTGAAAGCTCCAACCAGATGGTCATTTTCTAACTGTGAAATTTGCTTGAAACTCACCCCTTCTAGCTTTAGTCTGTCCCATTGTTCTTCTTTGAATATGTCTTCAAAAAAGGAAGCAATCTTCTCCTTCATTCTGCTGGCACACACAATTTGTGTTCCTTTGATTTGTATAGAAGTCATTTCATTTCTTCTCCATCTCCCCTTGACGCACTTGTGAAAGAAACTTGTGTTGGCGTCACCGAGGGTCAACCATGCCTTTCTAGATTTCTGCTGCAGCATACTTTTCTTGCTCTTCATGCTTTCCCATAGAAGTAGGAAATCCTCTCTTCTTCTTATGATTTCTTCCTCCGACAGTTGTACCTTTTTCCCCTTCTTATCAATTCGTGCTATCTTTGTAGTAGCCTTGTTTATTTTGGCATCAATATCTGGGAGAAGTGTTTTGCTCCACCTTTTCAAAGCTTCCTTTGTCAATTTCAGTTTTTCCTTAAGTTGAAACCCTGCCCATCCTTGAATGTTCGCCGACCCCCACACCTCTTTAACCAACTCCATGCAACCTTCTTGTTGAAACCATGCATTGACAAACTTAAATGGCTTAGGCCCCCAGTCAATATGCTTATGTCTGAGCAAGATTGGACAATGATCCGACATTGTTCTACTAAGGCCCCACTGTCTGGCTTCACTCCACTTTGTCAACCACCTTTCCGATAGTAGAAATCTGTCTATTCTGCTCATACTGTTCCCGTTAGACTGGTACCAGATGAATTTTCTACCCACAAGAGAATATCCACCAACTCTGTTTCTTGTATAAAGTTATTAAACTCTCTCATCTCAATAGTAACTCCTCTGCTTCCTTTTTCTCCTCTTCATTCCTAACTGCATTAAAATCCCTTGCAATACACCAGTTGCTTTGTCTATCTAATACCAAATTTTTCAGCTCTGCCCATAAAACTCTCTTCCCTGATAACTGGCACGGGGAGTACACATTTAAAATGAAAACAACAACCCGCTCAGAACCCTATACCCCTTCTATTCCTATAAAATTCTCACCCTCTATTACTCTAGACATTGTGAGAGATTTAGAATTCCATACACAGAGTATGCCTCCAGACAACCCACATGCATCCTTTGCAACCCAACCGAAGTCTTCTGTGCCGCACACCATTTTACATGTTTTTCTATCTATCCCTGTCACATTCGTTTCTTGTAAAGCCAAAAAATCTATTTTTTCTTTACTCACTAAATCCCTTTACTATCTCTTCTTACTAGCACCACCCAAACCTTTAAGGTTAAAAGACAATATATTCATAATTCTGTTTCACTAACTTTCTGTTTCTTCTTTGGATCTTTTGAGCAGTCCGCTTCCTTTGCTCTTCTGTCACGCATCTCCATTTCGTCAAGCTTGTTGATGATTTGTTCCTCATTTTCAGCAACAACCCCAATTTTCCTAGCAAAATCCCACAGCTCTCTGCAATTCTGCGACTTGGGTGTTCCTTCAACAATCTATTTCGATTCTGTATACCACTATCTCCCACAGAACCCCCTGCAACTTCATTGTTCATGCCCGGCTGAAACTTTGGGATATCTTCTCGCCATGCTTTCTTCTCTTTTACTGCAGATCTGTTCTTCTCTCTCCGCATCAAAATTCGTTGAAGACTTGCTTTTTGATACACAGCTTTGCACGACCTTGCTCTCTTCTTTTTTCTTTTTTTTCGATCTTTGTTACTTGCATCCATCCACCCTTTTTCACTTTCTTCCTCACTTTGCAAATCTGCCCAGAACTCTCTATTGTTTCCCAACGACTCCCCTTTTTTCTCTTGCCTCTGCTGCTGTTGCTCACGTTGCGGTACAGATTCTTGCTCAATTCTGGACTCATTTTCCATACTTTTGGTTGTATCATTCATCTGGTTAGCCCATATCTACCCTCCCACTTGCTGTTCATTGTCACGGGCTTGGCATATGGCCTCTGAGTTGGGCTTATGCTGTAGGCCCAAGTTATTGCCAGCTGAACTCTCGATAGGGTCTGTAGACAGCTCATTTTGTGGACTGTTTTCAAATAAACCAGCCTCAACTCTTCCTCCTAATTCACTAGCTTCCGTAGACCTGTCAAAATTGTCAGCTACTACTTTCACTGATTGTTCTTCACCCAGCCGGCTATAGGGGAAGCTATCCACCAGCTTGCGTCCTTTCACATCACCCCCTTCTTCTTCAAATTCAAATTCCACCTCGTTTCTCGGATTGGCAGTTGACTGTTTGTCAATTTGGCTGAAATCCCTGTTTTCTCCTTCTTCTTCTCCATCACCGGCGAGTTGTTCCAGATCAACACCCTAGTCATTTTCTTCATGGTTGAGCTCCAAGTCATTGCAGTCCGTCCATGATTCCTCATATTCTGAATCAGTGCTGAAATTTGGCTTGAAATCGTGCCTTGTTGAAAACAAGCTATTTACCAGCTCCTCTTCCGTGAATTTCAAATCAGACATGACTCCATTCACTTTGATTCTTCGCATGACAGATATTGCATTCATGATTTGCGTGGATATTAGGAATCTAGCCACGTCAAACCTTAATTTTCTGCTTGTGTTGTCATCTAGGCATATGAACTTACCCCATGTCACTGCCATTTTTTCAAAAAATTCCAGCCCCCAAGCATGAAGAGGGGCTCCTTGGCATCTCATCCATACAAATCTTTCCTCTGCCATTGCTGTAGGTGTCTAGGGTTGAATATCTATGAACCATTGGCCTAGCCAGTCTGCGCCCCCTGTACTAAGTCCCTTAGCTCCTCCTTCTCCTCATAGTCCATTAATACCAGCTTCCCCCCCATAGGACGGAGCCGACATGAAAAATAACCTTCCATGTAAAGCTTTTCCTGCAAATTAGGTATAATTTCTATGGAATGTGCTGTACCGACATAGCAACCGCGGAGCCATTCATAGTCTTCTTCCTTGACCTTGAATTCAATTCCTGACCACTCCTCACCTCTGCTCTTCTTTCTCCATGTTGTCTCTGTTGAGTTGATCTGTTTGTCCCTTTGCTTCTACCTTCTTAATACTTGGATCATTTAAATAATCAATCTTAATACTTGTTTTAATTGTTGACTCTATTAGGTTCCACCTTAACTTAAGCTTGAGTACTCTAGTAGTTTGATCGAAGATCAACTCGATCATGCTTTTATTCATAAAGTGAGTTTACTCTTTACCTAGATGACCAGTGTGTTTAGTTCAAGATGCAATTGAATGGTTGAAAAATGGATGGATGGATGGATGGTTGATCAACTTGATTTGATCATAGCACTAATTTTTTCTAATCCAAGCAATTAAGGTTGATGTTAGACAATAATAGATTTCTACCTTTCTTTGAGAAATTTTATATCTCTCACTTTCCATGTTGATGTGACAAATGAGAAAAACCTGGAAAAAATTTATTGCCATTCACCATTTGACAAAACCCACAAGTCTTGGTCTAATACCAAAGCTTGTAAGATTCACACATGAGACCATGTCATCTAGCTTTTTGTAAAAGATAAGGCACTCTAATGGGTCTCCATGCCCCTTGTTATATTCATTTATCATATCGTTTCCTCTAGTTGCATTCAGCAATTCTATATATCAAGCCTTCCAACGTTGTACCCGAGATGTACCCATTCACCATTCCGCTGCAAGCCTGCAATAAATATTATCTCGATATGTAGTTGTCAAAGCTTAGAGGTGCGTTTATCGTGTGTATTAATTTAGACCCTGATGTGGCCTGATGATACCTGTAGAAATGTTCCTTATGAATGGTAGATTCTACAGTAATATTCTTTCCATATGTAAGCAGAGAGTAGTCAGAAAAGTGAATCCTCAAAGGCTTTGAAACATTTATGAAGACTAAACCAACTACAGGTGATTTTAGTACTTGGTCAGAAAGTTAATGATTAATGATTGATTCTAGGAAATGCTGGTTCTTGGTTGTCTCTTCTTTCTTCATTTGTTCTTT